CATGTCTGTAACTGCAGTTTGTGTGCTATTTCTTATCAAGCTACGATGGCCAAAGAGAAAGAATTTTATCTAGGCCAGTTTTACCCTGGGCTTTCCCTGATAAAAAGTAATATCCCTACTACAGGATTAGCTTATTGCACGATTTGACTTGTGCGGGTAAATCCTTTTCCAGTTGACGGCTTGGCAACCTCGCCACTAAAGACATTGTAACCTGGCGTCCAAAATTACAGCTTGGTTACCTTGTCGCCATAAAGTGAAGCATATGTGATCTCCAGGTCACACACACTTAAATGTTTCACTTTCGTTTCGTGCAGAGTCCGAAGGTCTTGTGAACTCTAAGAATGAAAAAGCACGATCAATCTGTCAAAGTTTGTAATCATAACAATTTTCCCTAATTACGGTAACGCTGAACGCTTCGAACTGTACAGAACGTTGAAGAAGGGAAATCCAACGCACCTTTTTCCAGTCCTCATCGAGAGTTTCGTATAGCTTATCGTGTTCCTTCTCTAACTCCTCGCTCTCTTTCTTGTGGAACTCTGCCATCTAAAATTATTAAATATGAAATTTGAGACATGGTCTAAATATCAATCAAATAAAAGTAAGATAGTACATCCTTTCTACCAGCAAATCAATCAAAACGAAAAACAAACCTTTTGTCTTTCTTTGACTGCTTGTTCTATATGCTTTTTGTTTTCCTCTCGTTTCCTCCTGGAAAAAAAAAGTGATCATTGAGTTTGGTGGGGAGAGAGTAGAGGTTGACTCAAACTTACGAATCCCTCGGTTACAAGTATACCGAATGTAGAAACGAAACGATTTCCTGACCTCTGGACGTTACAGTTATTTTGGCAAAAGACTACAAGAAAAATGAAAGCCAATGAGGTCAAACAACAACTACATCGGACAAGATGTGTCAAGAGAGCTCACATGAAAATAGCTCGTGAAAAGGAGGAAAGGAAAACAAGAAAGGAGAAAGCACGGAGAAAAAACGGAGAGATGAGGAGGGAAAGGTGGGAAAGAAAAAGAAAGAAAACAAAACAAAACAAAAACAAAAGCAAGGGAAGACCAGCTTTAAAAAAAATGCGGGAAGAAAGAAGAGCAAGAACACTCCTTTGTTGTTGCTGTTGTCATAAGGTTGTTATCAAGAATACATTAAAGGACTGTGACTATATGAAAATCATCTATGTGAAGTGTGGGTTATGAAATTAATATCAAAGCGATCTTCGCAGTAATGAACACTACTTGAGCACCAGCGAAAATTAGGCCTAAAACAAATTCGGGCCTGTACGGGATTTGGGTCATGGGTTCAAATCCCGCACTGGCCTGAACTTTTTTCAGGCCTTATTTTCACCAGTGCTCAATTAGTGTTCATCACTGCGAAGATCGCTTTGGTATCAAGGGTACATCAACAAGACAAACATGGCAAACCTTTGAAGTTCATCTTTCTTGGAATGTTGACGCGCCAACACTTTGAGTTCTTCTCTGTTCTGGTTGTCTTGGCTTTTTCTTAATTCATTCATTTGCCTGAAAACAGTGAATGTATACAGCACTGGTTCATTCAGCAAGAATCACCAACACGGGCATATACATTCATAATACACAGTTTATTGAGTCTCCCTTCAAGTCATTTTCAGTCACAATGTTAACTATAACATAATACTGATAATGAAGAAAACTTACTGAAAGTGATTTAAATTAAATTCAAAATATCTTCAAAGTAATTCAAATCATATTCAAAATTATTTTGTATGAAACATATCATCAAAAAGTGTCCGCTTAAAACTATTAATTTTTTTAGTATTCTTAATATTGTCGGCTAACCCATTCCATTCCCTTGGACCCCGAAAGTAAAATGCCCTTTCTCCCATTGACAATCTACATCGGGGACCATCAAATTGTTACATTCCCTTGTGTTCTTTAACAAAATAATCTGGAGCTAGGCCACTTACACATTTAAACCTAAGCAATCAAATTAATATACCATGATCTATGCGAAACTGTCTTGCAACAAAATTGCGTGATGAGTTCGAACGAGTCAATTATAACAGTCATCGTATTTGTTTATACTTCACCACAGAAATCAAGCAGGAAGGCATGTGCAGCTCTGTGGTTTGAGTTTGGGAACAAAATCCTATGGTCAGCCTCGGGTGAAACACTACTCTACATCATGAAATTTCGGACTTTTGTAGCATTTTCAGATTTGGAATCAGCGGATGATTCTACTCTTACTTGGCGTGTAAATCAGCCAGGGATTTCATCTTCTCCTCCTGGGACAGTCGCATCAGCCTCTCCAGTTCCTCTTGCTTCTGCGTAACATGAGTGAAAAAGGAACAAAACAAGAAATGTAACTCATTTGGAAACTGGCCAGAGACAGAAGGACAGAGAAACAACAAGAAAAAAACCCTGTAAGATGCTAACGTACACAGAACTATAGGATGAGTCGAACATGGTAAAAGATACTTTGGAATCCATGGTGATTTAGTGTGCAAGAGACAAACAGAAAATGCACGAAAATGTACGGTTTGAGTCCTTATATTGACCAGCTCCTAGTTTCTCTTCTTAACATCACACTTTAAGGTCAAGAGAATAAAGGAAATGATCGTCAAGTAGGGAAGCTCTTAATTAAGCAAATTCTCCTTTTCAGCACCTTGTATGTGTAGAGAATGTATAGAGAACAGCATGGAGAATATGTATACTGAGGTCAGGGTGCAAAGGGTAATAAAGTGAAAGAGTTTGAACTCAGCCTACAGGAAGAAGTTGCTTTTCGGCCAGCTCCAACTGCTCATTTAGCTGCCTCCTCAATAGGTCCACCATAGACTCACGGTGCTGGCGTTTAAGAGAATTGATCTGAAAACAAAGCATTCCAGATTACATCAAGGTAATCTCATGCTAGCATTACTTCAACGCTGCCCCTTAAAAGGAGAGTAGGATAATAAACGATTAGTATAGCTAAACGCCATTGACAACCTCTAGAGTGCACTTGAGAAATAACACAGGAGTAAAATTGAAGCAAACAATACGTATGTTTGAAAATGATTGTCAAACTTGGTGCTGTAGCAAGCAGCATAGATGCAATATAGAACTTAAAAAGAGAGCCAAGATGCGAGTGCCAAGCTGACCTCTTTAACATATGCAATGAAGCGCCATAAATCACTAATAATAGTCACGCCATTAAGACAGGGTATCGTGGTGTGTTTTAGTACCTCGCTATTCTGTGAAAATCGAAATAATTTTCTTCAGTTGGTTGATAGAACGAAAGCTGTTTATTTGATCTAACTGCATTTTCAAAATGACCTGGTCAATATCATCTAACGTTTCATCTTTCTTTGATCTGTTTGTTTTACCATTCATTGCAGACAAAAAATTTTCAAATTCGATTATTTTGCCAGCATGGTCTGACACAAACGTACGGAAGAGAATCTTTCGCCATAGTAGTTCTCTGATTTCACTTTGATGAAAAGTTGTGAATTTTCTGTCTAAACAAATTCAGCGAACGCGATCAGTCATGGCTTCATTGTCTACTACAATTCTGTGAATCTGGTTGGCTTCTCTGGTATCAGTCTAAAGAGAATTCGTGTATTTGATTGGTTCCTCCATCACATATTATTTTCAATCCACGAATCTGATTGATTCTCTCATTAGGGTATAATACAAATCTGCGAATCTGATTAGTTCTCTTTTCATTGTATATTACAAATGTGCAATCTGATTAGCTCTCTCATTACCGTATATAACAAATCTGCAAATCTGACTGGTTTTCTAAGGGCTTCGACAGACCAGAGGAATAAAGATCGACAGTTAGAACTTGAAAAGTGTCCTCACTAAACACAAGCATACCCTACCAATAACATCTAAATCTTAGATTACTGACAGACTGTGTTTTTCATTTTCACGGAGTTAACAGCCAAAAATCCTAAAAAATCTAACTAAATAAAAAACGTTTCAACTCTTCTTTGGTTACTATAGCGTTGATAGTGACTGAAGCGGGTGGAAACTAAGTTATGCCTAAAACAACAACATTCACTACAACAAACAAACCAACAAAGAAAACTTTTCAGTGATGAAGAGGTACAGGCCATCGATCAGAATTGTCTCGGCTGTCGAAGCCCTTATCTGAATAGCGCCCTTAAAGGTGTGTACGTACGATTGAGTCCTTGTCAACACCGCCTGGCTGTACCTGAGAGTTCCAAGAAAAGAAACCACAGCAGTTCCACGTCAACATCAAAGATCTTTGAAATGGTTCAGAAATTAGCTTCAGCTGTGCAATTTACGCTTTGCGGTGCAACTTGTTTGTTAATGCTGTGCTGTTTTGCTGAGCGGCTTTTAGTTCGTGCAATGTTGTGCTTGCAATTACCTCATTTAATTTCTATTTAAGAATTGTGAGAGATGGACGAGTGTTCTCGACGCTAAAGCACAATATAATTATTAACATAACGGCGCAGTGAAGAATAAATTGATCAGTAATCTAAAACAATTTACTGATTGATGTGCAGTTTACAAGATAAACTTTTAAATTGATGAACTGACGAAAGTTTAAGAAAGATGATTCACGAAAGGAACATAGAAGGAAGAAGTTACGAGTCACGGATGATATGCAAATTACAGGCTCAATACTGGAAACAACCAAAAATTTAAAAAATAAACATCGAAAGTTGTAATTTCTCATTTTAATTTTTAGATTCGATCATCAATTTATTTTATTGTAATTTTTATCGTATCTTTAGTTATATATGCAGTATTTTTAACTTGTAAATAGATATATAATGATATTGTAATGTGCAAATTAAAATTTTAGATTGATATTTGCACTCGTTGTTTGTATGTTGACTCGCCCTATGGGCTCGTCAAAATACGGCACAATTCGTAAAAGTACTCAGCGATACTACACAACCAAACGTCTAATAAGATACATGAATTGGAGAATATTTTTAGGACTTTCTGAGAATGTAAGAATGTGCCTTAGAATTATTGTAAACTTGTGGAAATGAGTTGAGGAATACTAGTAAACTTTAGGAATATCTCTTAAAACCTCAGAAGATTTTTAGAAAGATTTCAAAATATTTCTAAGACTACAGATAAAATATCTGTATACATTTCTTACAATGAATACAAAGAGGAATTGCTGAAAATTTTAATGATAAATTCTAAGAATGTTGGGAATTTATAAGAATATCACAAGGAACCTTTGAGAAGTTTTAACGGACTATTTATAGATATGTTTATTATCATATCTCTGAACTACTGGATATTAATTAAGGGTGTTGGATTTCTAGAAATTCTCAAGGAATCCATGAGTGCTTCAAAAGTGATATTTGAAATAGGGTGGGAGTATCTGATAGCACTAAGCAGTATGTCAAGAAATAGTCGGAAATTTAATTTTCATGATATAATCGAGCGTTTGGCAATTTGTAGGACTAACTGAGGGAATTTTGTGAACTTTGTGAGGATGTAAGACCTTTTAGAGAATATCTTTTAATTTCTGGAAATGTTTAGGGAAAAGGATATGAAATTTGGAATTTCCATAACTTCTGGAATTACTTAATCAATAGAATAGATCTTTTAGAATCCC